ATACAATGGATAAATCAAGTTTTAGATCAGTATTTGAGGTGTACCATCAATTATCAACAAGATGATTGGACAATTTTTTTGCCATTGGCAGAATTTGCTTATAATAATTTGGTACATTCTTCAATTCAACAAACACCTTTCTTTGCCAATTACGGTTATCATCCACAATTTGATACTTTTTACTTTTCAAAAGTTGATAATCCTACAGCGGAAGATATGGCAAATCAATTATCAGGGCTATATGCAATAATAAAGGTACAATTAAAAGAAGATCAAGAACAACAAAAAGCCAATGTAGATGTCTATCCCAAGGAACAACCTCAATTCTATGTGGGGAATAAGATATGATTACTTTATTATAATATTAAAACTATTCTTCCTTTTGATAAGCTAGATTATTATAGGCTTGGATCATTTTTCATACGTAACTAGATCAATCCAATTGCTTATTGATTACATCTATCAGAGTCTATGAAAATCTATCCTATATTCCATGTGTCTTTACTTGAGCCATATAAGATAATGGATATAGAAGGAAGAAGACAAATGCCATTACTTCTTATAGAAGTAGACAATAATGAAAAATTTGAGGTAGAAGAAGTCTTAGATTCAAGGTGGCGCTAAAATAAGTTAGAATATCTAGTACATTGGCATGGATATGACATTAATGAACATACATATGAGCCATCCAAGAATTTAGCAAATGCATTAGCCAAAGTTAATGCATTTCATCAACGACATCCATCAAAACCAAGATGAAGAGTCAAAAAATTCTTTACTATAAAGCAAAGCAAGCCTAATAGAGATTTCATTCTATCTTGTATCATTATTTTTTTAGATTTTTTAATCGTTAAGAGATGGAGAACCAACAACTAGCAAATTCAATTCAAGATCTATCATTTCCTAACCTACTAGATGAGACATTGCGACTATCACAACCTTCAAGATGACAAAATCAAGATGAAGACCCTTAAAAATGACATATTCTTCCTCAAATAGATGGCGAGATACAATGCGTTTGGTACCATGACCTTGGAAGGGACTATTTGTGTTTAGAGATACTTTTGGAGGTTAAAACTACTCTTGATGGTATTACGAATGTTTTGTTTGAAAGAAGTTATAAAGGCCTCAATAATGATCAAATATGATGGTGGTCTTCTCATTCTCGTATAGAACATTATTGATGGTTAAAGAGACCTATCAACTACTTTCAAAAGAAACAAATATTAGAGCATGTGGCAAATATAATTTGGTGCATCTTGGTCTTCATGAACATGTAATCATCGCTCTTCGTGGAACTCGTCCTTAGAAAGGGGGATAATTTCGTGGACATGCATATTTATTCGAATAATTATTTAGATAATAAGAATAGGTAGAAGTAAGTCAAAGTAAATAAATATGATAATATCTTATAGAAAGCTTCCTAGAAGCTTCATAGATGCTACTTTGCCTTTATACATGTTTATAGGTGATTAGTAGGTTGCAAACTTGGCCAACAAGGAGGCCATGTATTGACATGTTGACCACTTATAGTACAAGTTGGACATATGGTGCACACCTAGGAAACTTGCCTTGCAAATTAGATATGTGTCTTACAAGTTGGATGTGTATTAGAGGTCCTATAGCATGTTGCCATGTATTTCTTAATTAAGTAGTATATATAGAGGTAAGAGTGAGGCCTTCCTCACTCTTGTCAACTCCTTTCTTGTTTTTTAGTCTAGTTTGAAGAGTCTTATGTTTTCTAGTCTTTGGCAATAGCCATTCCAGTTCTTCCTTGAATATACATACTTTCTTCTATTTTGTCACTTTTCTTTTGACACAGATTCTACGACTTTATGCATCTTCTTTCAATTTGTGTCCTTGACACCTATTGATGTATAAGGTATTTGAACCAACCATTTTTAATTAATACATCAATTATTTCTTCAAATTTATTCTTATACCCCTAAAAATAGATACCATATTATCATAATATCTAAAAGAACTTTGACTAGAAATTCAAATATTAATGTTTTAATACAAATAGAAAATCTAAAACAAGGTGTAAGATATGGTGGTATCATGATATTTATATTTAATGGTTGAAATATAGAATTTTTTAATTGCAAGGTTTCTACTACAACCAAAAGTCTTTATTTTTTACTTCTCTATTTCTAACTTTATACTTCAAACTTTAAATCTATTTGATTTAATTCAAAATTCTTATATCTTATGTCTTGGTTTTTTACAATATAAGCATAGTTTTTTCATAGTGTCATCTATCTTTTTTTTAAAACTTAGTCACTTAAATTGAGTAGTATCAATTTGCATAGGTTTACATTTTGAGGAATAATTCTTCATACTTAGTTGGATTATATATATATATATATATATATATATATATATATATATATATATATCGATATATATAATCCAATTAAGAGATATATGGTAATATCCTATAAGACCTTCAACATGTATCCAAGTTATGAAAAAAGTATTTAATTTATAAGACAAGTTTCTATATATATGCCACATAGCCAATTTGTACTATAAGTGATCAACATATACAATACTTGGCTAAGTTGTTGGCCAAGTTTTCAACCTATCATTTACCTACAATCATATATAAAGTCAAATATGTATCTATGTTGCTACTAAAAAGCCTTTCTACAAGATAATATCAAATTTATTAACTTCAATTTATTTTCATGTAACTCATCTTATCTAAATAATTGATAGTTTCAATTATGTTTGTGATATTATCCCCTCTTTTAAAAACAAGTTCCACAATGAGCGGATATCACATGTTGAGGAAGTCTAAGATGTGGCAAATTATATTTACCACATACTTTGATCTTTGTTTCTTTTGAAGGTAAATTATAGGTTTTCTTGGCCATTGATAGTATCTCATACTAGGGCAATAAGACCACCTTATTTCCAATAATAGATGTATGTACTTGAAGCTTTATAAAAATTTATTATTTTTTAATTTAAAAAATAGTAATTATATCTTTTCAAAATTTATTATAAAATATTATGTGGTAAATGAATTTGATTGTGATTTTGAATAAATTAAAAATTAACTTACATATTTTTATTAATGAAAAATAAAAAAATATTTAAAATGGAATAATTTGGTTGAAATTGTTTAAATTTAGATTTTAATCAAATACATGACAAAAAAGAGTCACAAAAATATTTTAAAGAATTCAATATAAATTGTATTCAAAAAAATATAAATTATATATATTAAATATATATATATATATATATATATATATATATATATATATTCTTTTTATTATTCTTTCAAATTAAGGATTTTAGATTTCAACATAAGCAAAGATTTTTTTTAATTTTGCTAATTTAAAGTATTTAAAAATTTTAAAAAGACTTATCATATCTTTAGGAAGTTTTTAATGTACTAGTAAAGTTTCAATACTTATGTTTTACAATTCTACTAAAAAAAATACATATTTTTGCATGTTTATTTTGAGATAAATGATCAAAACACAAGTTCTAAAAAACCAAATATGTTTTATGTTCTTTTTGTAATTTCAATGATTAAGCATAATCATTTTGCCTAATACTTTGGAATAATTTTAAGTGAAGTTTAGTACCATCTTTGAACTTAATTTAGATTGTAATTTTGTTTTACTTTCTAACTAATATTATATTTCAAACTAATAATTACAATATTTTTATTTATTTATTTATTTAGAATCAATAAAATTTCTTTATTTAGAAATTAGATATACTATTGATAAAAGCAGTAGAAATAGTAACAATATTTTGTTTGATGATTTTGTAATAAAGTAATTTGTGAATTCCGCTTCTTTTTCTATTATTTGAACTCAGGGTTAAACAAGTGCATGTATTGAGAAATTGATTAATGTAAATGAAAAAAATTAAAAAATTTAACAAGTAAAATTTTTTAAAAATTAAACCACTTAGAAATTTAATTTATCTAAATTAAAATTTTTTGACGTTTGCAATATTTGTTTCTTAAAACGTATTTTCAAAGAATTCTTTTCAACAAGATCTTCAATTCACAATATGCAACATGATTAAAAATATCATAAATATACAAAAAAATTGTAAGTATCTATGAGTCTGTTTGCTAAATAATTTAAAATTCAGAAACGTAACATAACTGCACATCATTATATATTTTCTAGAAGTCAATAATTTCATGATTATTTTGCAAAGATAAAATTATTGTAAAACCTTAAAAACAGATTATAAAAAAAAAATTAAAAATAACAATGAACCATATTGAATATTATTGAATTTTTACAAATGCAATTATATCTAGGAATGGAATCCTATCTATTTAGAAGAATCTTGGTGTAACATTATCCCAATGTACAACTTGAATACATTTGAAGATTTCATATTTATTCTCACCATCTGTAATAATGACATTTTTTTCTTTTTTCTATTCCGTAACTATCATTGTTGTAATAAAAACATGTTAGTTTATCAACATGATATAAATGTAAAAAGTTCTATGGGAATCCAAGTTCCTTACTAATCCCAAGCCTTTAGGAATGAATTGAATCTTCAAATTAATTAAAATAACATTACGTTAAATCAAATGGTATTGAAGAACTTCCTAAAATTCAGGATCCATATGGAGCCACTGCATGTGTGCTGTATTATATTTTTCCAAAAAAAAAAAAAAAAAAATGTCCATGAATGACTTTGTTACTTCACACAAATATTTTCTTTTGAGAAGAATATATATTCCCTGTTTACTTGATGTATTGTGACTATTTTCTGCACAGCATTTATTGATTATTTATTTATTTAGTTATTGTGTTTTGTATACATGCTGTTGTTTTTATGATACGTAAACGGAATACCGATAAGCGACTTGGTTAACTTGCGACTTTCATAGAGAGGTATGAAGTAGGAAGAGGGGCGTTAGTCTTAGTTATCTTACTTGCAAGGAAGTCTACCAAGACTCAGAATCTACACTGCTAGAATTTGAAATAGCGTGGCGCGTATTGTCAAAGTAGGATAAATTGCATGACATTGACATTTTTGAAGATTACTTGGATGTGATTTATGTGGTAGTCTCTGGTACATCTAAAATTCAAAGGTTTGGGACTATCTTGCACAAACAAATCACATATGGTGTCCGCAGGCTCTGCTCAAGAAGTTTCTCATGGGCGATATTTGCTGATTAGAAATAAGTCATTCCCTACCGAGAAGGATGTCAAAGTAAGATACCCAAACTTTTAAACCCAAAGACACCTGGCTAAGGTAGTAAGGATAGGCAAGGATTAGTAGGGATTGAATTCCTCAAAACAATTCGCTGCGAGATCAGTTAAATTTAGGTCTAAAAGCAACATTCACTGCCAGATCTAGAGAAAAATTCCAGAGACCAGGCCATGATATGTGATGGAGTCTGTGTCATGCGAGCATGGCTCATATTGGCGTCGAAAAACTCACATGGGCTGCTTATACCATCTGATCATGAATACAGCAAGCGGCGATGTCTTCACTTTGCAAATAAAAAAATGAACAAGGCTCTAGTGAGGTTTACGGCGCTCGGGTAATCCATTTTTCAAGCTCTAGATTTTCCCCAAGATATTGAGATTCGGAAGCCAAGCGTTGAGTTCAACTGAACCCTTCCATCACTGAGCTTGAGAGAATGAAAAAAGGCGTAACCAGAATCCGTCTGTTGTAGTCACACCTTTCAAGGTCATAGGTGACATAGAAAGGTCAAACCTAAGCTCTCTCAGTTCTCTCCAATTTCAGAGAGATGGATCGTTCTCCATTACCCTTCAGAGACAGACAGTGTCAAGCTCTCCGTCCCTATTCACCGCAGTAGTTCACAACGACCTGAACCGGACATGCACTCAACACACTTAATACATATTGACGCGACGATTCCACCACCCCAGCGTGGTGTTAGCGGCAAACATTCAGATTCTCCATAGGCTAACATACATGATCTGCAATAAGGTCCGTGGAAGAGGCCTCAGGCAGAAATCTGTGAGGCATAAACAGGTTATATAACATTCAACAAAACTAGTATTAACGGCAGTCAATCTCACAAGATGTGCAAAAGATCCACCAACATACAGCACAGTTACAGCACTTAGACTCCGTGAGGAAATCAAGCACTTAGACAAGATATAGTCATGAAAGGAAAGAACTAGAACAATGTAATCTCGTCGAAAAGGTATAGGCACGCCACAATCGGCGAAAAGCCAACAGCTAGGCTGGGAGAGAGATGCAATCAATGCTCTATGAAGGCAAACTTGAGAGAAGCAAACCTACACAGTACTTCCCCCTTAGGTCCTTCACTCCACAGATCAGCTGCACAACACACAGACGATCATCAACACTCACACAACCAGTAAACCATACTACCAAATCGAGCACGGTTCAAGCAAACTAACGAACAAACTAAACAACGAAGCAGATGCAACTGGAGAGCGAAGCATGAAGAAAGGACTCTTCACACCAAGTCGTACTTGGTCAGAGCCACCAATTTGTAGCAATCGGGGAAGCTAGGTCGATGGAAGAAGAAGCGTCTAGACTTTTCGAAGCCAGTCTGCTCTCACTCTCGCTCAAATAATAATAGATCCTTCCAGAAGCTAGCTTGCGAGAAAGCTCCCTTCCAATTTCAATTCCACTTGGCATCGCACGGGCTGTCCCTTCGCAACATTCGGCGCATCCCTCAGGGGGAGCGAGCATCCATATATTCATACATCCATATATTCATACATCCATATATTCATACATCCATGTATTCATACATCCATGTATTCATACATCCATATATTCATACCTCCATGTATTCGTACATCCATGTATTCATATATCCATGTATGTGTACAGTCATCTATGTGGACATCATTCATTTGTATATGTATTCATTCCTATATTCATCCACCCGTCTTGCTTGCTTGCATTGCACACGCCGCTGCCCTGTTGCTGGCATTGGGCTGCCCGGTTTTGCGCTGTCTCCACTGAAGAATAAAAGATAAAGAAAAATATGAAATCATGCGGATAAAGTAAAAGCTACCTGCTGATTGAGAGGCTGTTGTTGATTGGCATCTATATATTAAGATCGCTGAAGGAGACAAGTGGTGGCTCTCATTCACTGCATACACCCCTCTTGATTTTCATCAAAAAACTTAATGTTGTTTGGAGTCCACATGGCATTTTACGATTGATCACAGAGAATTCACAAGGCATTTTAAACTTCCTAGTATGTATAATTTTATCCAACAAATTGATATAATGGCACATTGCCTCATATGTCTTATTGTTTCAATTGCATTTGATGGTTTTTGTCTTATTGTTTTGATTGCATTTGATGGTTTAATTTTTGGTAGACCTTCACAATTCCATCAATTATGCCCTATTTTTCTTTCCACTCACTTGCATAAGTGTAATTTTTAGTTTACTATTTTGTAATAAGCTCACTCCATTTGATTACATTTGATGTTTTTGATTGCATGAATAGATAAAAATATTTGAAGATTGATTAATAAAAAATTATATTTAATCGATCATATTAATTGTCATATGCAATGCTGCAATGTTTATGTATAATTATTGTCCTGATAATTTGTAGTGATGTAGTAATGTCTTAATGGTTAATGGAATAATGAACTTACAATCAAATTTCTAAACTTTGATATGTAGAGTAATGAATTTATAGTCAACCTTTCAAACTTTAATATATAGAGTAATAAACTTAAAGTCAACCTCTTGAATTATGATACACCTCTCAATTCATATTTTTTTGTCGTTTCATATTTTTAATTGAATATTTTGATACAATTGTCACCAATTTCTACTCAAATCTTAGAAAAGAGCTTAGAAAGAAGGTATGGATGCTTTAATTGATTATCCACAAGTGAACCTTTGTTTTGATCATTCATGTAAGTAACCATGCACTTTCAGTTTCAAGATTTTGATACAAAATTCAATTTGAATTTGATACAAATTTTTATTTTGACAAATGCAATTTCTACAATTTCACATCTCTTGGTGAGAAGATGTGTGCTTTTGTATTTATTATTCTTATTTTTATTCTTATTACTACTACTTCTTCTATTACTTAGATTGATATGGATTTTTTATGTATTACTAAGATGTATTACTAAGATGGGCTATCCACAATATTCACAATGGGATAGAGATTTCGTTGTTGTAATACATGAAGTCTTGCTTGAGAATGCTCTAGGTACTTGGCTGTGGAAGGTAGAATGGAAATTGCAACAACAAAATCCTAATTCTAATAGAACACTAACAATGTTAAAGAAGCTTAAATCAAATTCAGAGAAACCTCAAAAGAATTCCAAAGAAACAATAAGAAATCTTAAAAAAATATTAGAATGATTACAAACATATCTCAAATACATCTAAATTCAATCTTACTTTAATCCTAGTTGAAATCTTACTTCATTCAAACTTTAGGCCAAAAACTAATTAAATCTTAAATCCTAAACAAACTCAAATAAAATCCTAAATCCTAAATTAAATCTTGATCAAACTCTAACCAAATCTTAAACCTTAACCAAATCCTAAATCCTAAACCAAATCCTAATCTTAAATCAAATCCTAACCAAATCCTAAATCCTAAACTAAATCCTAATCCTAAATCAAACCCTAACCAAATCCTAAATCCTAAACCAAATCCTAATTCTAAATCAAATCCTAACCAAATCCTAAATCCTAAACCAAATACTAACCCTAAATCAAACCGTAACCAAACCATAATCATAAATCAAATCCTAATCAAATCCTAGTAATTTCTACAACAAAATTAAACCTCAATAACTAATGAATGAACCGTTGATCTTAACTCAAATTTTGCAAACTTCTTAAAAACTAAGTTGAAAACAAGCTTAAAAGTTTTGAAAAGGATCGAAATTACCAAATAGACGATAACTTCAAAAAAGTTCTCGGGTATTAGCTAGCTTCCTTCTCCAACCTTGATACCAATCTCCCAAAGCCAATATCTCTTCTTTTCATCGTTCGATTGATCTCAAACTTCTCATACACATAGAAAAACAAGTCTAATATCCTCTTACATAAATTTCACTCCAATCCAACTAGTAGATTGCAAGACATTTTAAAAACCCTCATTAGACCTAAAACTCTACTTTCTGAGACCTTGACTCATTTAAACCTCAACAATCCTCAATTCAACCGTTAGATCGAGCACAAATTTCCAACACATATTGAAAAAAACTATAACCAATAATACACAAAGTTTCACCCATAGATCTACTACAAAACTCTTGCAATTACCCAAAACATAAATCTTATTTTATTTCATAAAATCCAAGTCATCCAAAACAAACTTTAACTTTGCAAAGCTCTTACAAAGTCAATATAGATCCAAATCACCCAAAACTAATGCTCATTGAAACCTTATTAATTTTTTTCTCTAACCCCACTCTTTGATCTGCAAAAGAGTCCCCAAGTTACTGTAGGTACTCGGTTTTGTGCCTCAAGGTTTGATTTCGACCCAGGTTGATAACTAGCCCTCCTTGGCTATCAATATTTAGTTTTTCTAGGTAATTTTTGCTAGAATTTACTCTTAACTTCTTCTTAAAGATGTCTATATTATTTATTTTTCCAATCTACCTTATTTTTCTTTATTTTTGGCCCTACAAATTAAGTAGAAGCTATTTTTTCTAAAAGGGCAGCATTACTACTAAATGTTTTACTACCTTCCTATCTTTTATCTATATTTTTCTACTTTTTCTTTTAACTTGGATCTTCTATAATAAGATCCATATTATTATCTTTCACCATATGGTCGTGTTACTATCACGGACACAAACTACAGACTTGAAATCTAACAAGAAGTTCAAGAAGAAGTGGCAGAACTAGATTAAACAAATGAGTACAAGAACAACACTAGAAAGGTGAGCTAGAACTCCAAGAGATGTGTTATCGAGACTGAAGAACTCTTCAGCCTCGATCCCTATATATACTCCTACTTAGGAAGCTTCTCGAGCTACTTCTATTAACTAGGAAGCTTCTAGAAGGTTCCAAAGGCTTCTTTTCTAGAAGGTTCTAGAAACTTCTCAAGCTACTTCTATTAACTAGGAAGCTTCTAGAAAGTTCCAGGGGATTCCTTTCTAGAAGCTTCTAGAAACTTCTCTTCTAGAAGGTTCTAGAGACTTCCCTTCTAGAAGCTTCTAGAAACTTCTCTCTAAAAGGTTCCAGAGGCTTGTTTTCTAGAAGGTTCTAGAAACTTCTCTCTAGAAAGTTCTAAGGAATATGTCCCTAATATCACCCCCTCCTTTAGCTTCGAGGTCTTTGAGAAGCAATGTTGTTGATCAGTACCAACGTAAAAAAATGAAGATCTGTCACATAACTTCTGCTATGAACTCCAACTGTTGTTCACAAGGCAAGTGGTTCATCGACCCTTGAAGCCAATGGTAGTGGCCCAGGCCTTCGACTTCTGACCAAGCATGAACTTCCGTGTCCTCATTGTGAAATTGTCCTGCAAACAAGCCTTCTGGTTGACCATCGTAAGCAGGCTCGATCTCAAATATGATCACCAGTGATCGATTATTCGGTATCCTCCGTCGTCGTCGTAGTACATATAGTTCTTCATCTCGGGGTCGCCTTCGTGAGCTACTCGGTTGCGATACTCTGACTGGCATAGTATCTATCTCTTGGCTATCCATATCAAAAGACCAAACTACGATCTATCTTGGAGAAAATAACTACATCAACTATGAATTTTGCTGGTGCTCTCCCCTTTTCTTATATTGTTGGGAGAACAAGCTTCAGAAAGAAGCTATCATCGAATTGATTTAGGTTTATCGGGATGTCGTTGATGAAACTCCTGTACCTTTTGTGGCGCATTCGCAAGATTTTCAGCTGGCTCCCACGTTCGCTCATTAATGTCATAGCCGCACCAATGAACAAGATATTCTAACTTTTCCCACCTTCGCCGTGAATCCAATGCCTTTTCAACCTCGTATTCTTCGTGGTTCTCGATTTCAATACTAGGTGGCGGACATTGCACTCTTCCAGGAAAAGATGACTCTCGATAAGGTTCCAACAGAGAAACATGAAAGACTGGATGTACCTTCATAGAAGCCGGTAACTCCAGCCGGTATGCCACTGGATTAATTTGCTTCTGGATGATAAATGGTCCCAATCTTCGATAGTCCAACTTATCACATGGTCGCTTGGTCTTGATATTTCGTCGAAGAAGCCATGCTTTGTTTCCAACTTTGAAAGTAGGTGCTGGATTCTGAAATCTATCTGCAGACGTCTTATAAGATTCTTGAGCGGATTGTAATTGAAGCTTCAACATAGTTTGAAGCTCTGATAGTTGCTTCGCAAATCCTTCAGCTGCTAGATTGTTATTTGTTGACGGACTCAATAAATCAAGCTTCGGATGATACCCATAGTTGGAAAAGAATGGTGTTTGTTGAGTCGACGCATGGAGGGTGTTGTTATATGCAAACTTGGCTAGCGGTAGATATGCAGTCCAATCGTCTTGTTGATA